GAGGGTGGCCCCAACAGTGTGGGGGCCCCAAAAACCAAGAAAAAAAAAAAAAAAAAAAAAAGCCATAATAACTCATATCTATTCAAGGCATTTTCCCCCTAATAACCATATGGTCTTTAATTACACTCTGCATAGTGTCTAACAAAGTACTTTTCACAAATTATATGCTCTTTATTAATCGTCCTAATCTTTCTCTATATGCTTTTATGGTTTTAAATGATGAGATCTGGCCCTTATTATAGGGTGGATGAGAAGGCTCTATTTAGAACTGGGCCAAAATTGCTATTTGTAATGTCTTGCTCTGACCTGCTGCTATCTCTCTACCTCTTAGAATTTGCTTTCTGCTAAGACTTATGAGTATATGTTAAAAATCCACTGTAATCCTAGACACATTGTAGTATTTTCACAAGAGAGAGATATGTCTCCCTTCCTCTCACCACCTGTGTCAATCCATTCACCTCTTCCTGTGGATTTTACATCCTAAGGACATCTTGGATCTATCTACTACTTACCATCATCTACCACAATCCTAGCTCAAGCCACCATCTTCATCATTTAAACTATTGCAATTGTCATTTTTAAAAATCAGGTTTAACTTATATAGTATAAGTTGTAGTATCACTTATGTAGCAAAATTTACCATTTTAGACTAACATTTCAATGAGTTTTAACAAATATATATTTAACAAATATATACAGTATAATCACAGCTACAATCATAATATAGAACATTTCCATCACTCCAGAAAGCTCCCCCATGCATCTTTGGAATCAATTCACTTTTCCCACCTCCAGCCCCTAGCAACCACTGATCTGATTTATGTCCCTACAGGTTTGCCTTTTCCAGAATGTCATATAAATGGAGTCATGTTAGTACATTTATTGGTAATTTATTCTTTTTCATTCCTGTGTAATATTCCATCGTGTTGATGTACCTCAATTTATTCTTCCACTCACAAGTTGATGATCATTTGAGTTATTCTCACTTTAGGGCAATTATGAATATAGTTGTTGAAACCATTCAGGTTTTTGTGTGGATATTTTCATTATTCTTGGATAAATACATAAGAGGTAATTACTAGATCTTATGGTAAGATATTTTCCAAGGCATTTGTACCACTATGACTTCCCACCAGCAGTGTATGAGGATTTCAGTTGATCCACATCCTTGCCAGCACTTTTTTATTGTCTATTTAAAATAAAATATTAACCATTTGAGTAGGTAAATAATTGTGGTATTATTTTATATTTCTCTAACAACTAATAATGTTGATAATCTTTTTGTGTGTTTATCTGCTGCTCATATCTCTTTCTTTGGTGAAGTATTTGTTCAAATTATCTTATATACTAATGAGTTCTTAGATTCTAGGTAAAATCTTTCATCTGCTATGTGTTTTGCAAGTATTTTTCTCTAGTCTGTGATTTGCCTTTTCATATTCTTACCAATGTCTTTCAAAGAGCAAAACTTTTTAATGTCAAAGAAGTTTACCTTATCAAACTTTTAAATATTTTGTGAATCCTGTCTAAAAGATCACAAAGTTTTTCTCCTGTGTTTTCTCACAGGAATCTTGTAGGTTTAGATTTTATATTTATAAGATTTATTAGTTATTTTTTTAACACTACAAGGTAAAAGCTTAGTTTGTTATCCTTTTGTTAATTTATTTGTTTATTTTTCAATATGGATCCCAATTTTTCAGCAG